CCCGGCGGGACTCGACCAGCCCACCCTGCCTGCGGGAGCCCCCCGGTGCCGGTGAACAGCGGGGGCTCCCGGTGTTGAGGGGTGGGGGGCCGTTGCTATGGCAACCGATTTTTTTCCACCTCCTTTTTATAGTGTTTTTTTGGTTTTGTTTTTTTTTTTTTTTGTCTATTTCGGTTTAGGAAAACTGAAACACAGAGGACAGAGAAAGAATATAAACTTTCCTCTGTTTTTCCAAGAGAAAAGGCACCCAGGCAGGATGCAAGGGCAACGTGTGGGTGCGAGAGGCCGTCAGCTGGTGGGTCCTTGAGCTTGTATCCCCCACCCCAATTCTTTATAGGTCTTTCCTTAGTACTGCTGTGTGCTTTGTGAAACAAATCCGCACACACAAACTAACCCAAATTACTCACCTGAGCTTGCTCGGGCTACATTGTCAAGCCTACCCAAAAGGGCACGTGGACCTGACTTCTTGCAGAGGGCTGAGGTTTACTGCTTGCCCACCTAGTTTGCTTTTCAGCTGATGGGATTATCTTTTTTTAGTAGGAATGTCAAAAAGCTGAGTCAGCCATACCACAGCTATTAAGATCCTAAAACTTCTTCCTCCTTAAGGATTGCTCACCCCTACTCTGTGCAGTCAGATGAATATGAGTTGTTTGTTCTGGCAGAGGGACAGACAGTCTGTTTTCCCCTACATGTATACAACTAATTTCAAGTCACTAGTGTTCTAACTGGTGATAAAAGAGCTATCTTAAGCTTTTCACAGAACACAGTGACACTGTTAAATCAGCACAGCATTTTGATTAGCAGAAAGGAGAACTATGCAGCTTAATGAGAAAAAGAGGCAAAAATCCCTTCTGTACTTAAAACTCCAGTTTTGAAGCAAATAGGTGGCCATATTTTTCTTCAAGTGACAGATTTTCACCTCACTACCGATTCAAGGCTGTTCAGTGTCAGCAATAGCCTGCGCTATTTGAGTAAAGAAGAAAAATTGCTTTCATGCCTTATTGCTCATCTGGTTAGACCTTCTCCTGTGGATGCGTAACAGGCAGCTGTGGGGTCACAGCCCATGGGCTTGGTGACTTGAAGGACGCATAGCCTCTGATAACTCTTCCTTCACGAGCTTTGCGGTTCACCCTCGGGTGCATGCTCCCTTTCTAGCACTCTTGTCCTTGAAAGCAGGGGCTGGTGGTTTGTCTGTTCTGTCCTTGGAGATAGTATGGACCTCCGAGGTTCTTCTGCAGTTTACACGTCCACTTGCACGTACATGTCCTGTGTCTCATCCTTCCCTAAGTTGGCAGTCCTTATATTGCCAGGAAGGTTGAGTCCTCCTTGGAGTTCTCTGTTTTCTCAGTTTTAGGACAGAAGTGAGCCCAGGGCTGGCTCTTCCCTGAACTTTCCATTCTGGTTATTAAGTGATCTTTTGATCAGCTGTGACCTTTGGCAGGACACTAACAGTAGCTGCTATTGGAGGCTGATTCCAAGCCTAAATGCCTTCTAATGCCTAAAACTTCCTGGTAACTTCCAGACTAAATATATATATAATGCATTTGTTCAAAGGCCAAGATGGTCTTTCTGCTGAAACAGGTTTTCTCACTTCTGAGGTTTAAATCTTTACTGTCTTTGTCAAGATCAGTCTTCTAACATCAGAGATACCAATACAGGAGAAATGTATTTACTAACTGACTTGGTGAAAGTGGTTGCAGCACTTTGGAATTCATCATTTGCAGATGCCGTGGCCCCACAGTGGTGTTTCTAGGACTGCTTTACAATGCCAGATGGCCTTAGGCCACACTCTACATGGTGGCATCCTACCACAGCGATATCCCGAAGGAATTGTTATGCAGCTGACACAATTCAGAAGTGATGCAGATATGGGCATATCAGACTCCTTAGATTAATTCAGACGTCCTTGCATTTAGACTGCTTCATATGCTTATTCTCCTGATACTGGGCTGTACTAGCGAGAATTATACACAGAGGAACTTGAGAGATGCTTAAATTACAGTTAACCCCACTCTAACCTATGACTTTCTAAGAACCAAAGAATTCGGTCTGGTATGTCCTCAGAGACAAAATCTCAGGGGATCTCAGCTTGATAGGCAGGCTGAGTTAAGAGCTATTATCCATGCTGCTTGTGCCAAGCAGAACTGTTCACAACCAGCCACTCCTGTTCACATACCGATACAGTGTTCTGGGTGTATCTAATGGACTATGCAATAACTTAAAAATCACATGAAGGAGTGGGAAGGCAAGGGATACTTGGAAAACGGAATAGTGACCTTGTTCTCATGAAAAAAAGCAAGCAGAAATAAATGATGGCTTATGCTAACAAAAACTAAGTTTGTATTTCCAGAAACTGCAACTGAACGCCTGTATGCCATGGTCTGTCTGTAACGAGCAGAGTACATTCTGCACCGTTAGTGGGGTTCGGTTAAGACCAATGGCTCCAGTGAGATGACAGAAGTAGCGCTAAGCTTAGTTTAACACAATCTGCAGAAGCAGCTCTGCACAGTTGCTATAACACTATGTTAAACTAGGCTAAACTCTGAATACTGCTATAGTCGCTGCTTTTGGAAGCACTCTGGATTCAGTCTGTCAGAGTGTTCCTCTCCTCTACAAAATACATAAGCTCATTTAAAATCATCTAGTTTCCTGAAAGCTACTCAATGTGGGGAAAAAAGGCTGACACAGTTCCCTCTTGCCTGCTGAGGTAGTAAACTTACTGATTGCTTATCTGCAGTAACACCAATCACCACTTTTTTTATTTTGAAATCATATTTATGAATACCTTCTTGGTTTATACTGTCTTCTCAAATATGGGTATTTATATGTGTTGCTTACTGGAAAAGATCTGTTTCTTAAAGTGTATTTTTTAAACTTTTATAGTTTTGTTTGTTATTATTTTTATTATGTTTATGTTATTATTTTTAAAAAATCTTCAACCTGGCTTCAAGGGGAAACCCCTTCTTCTCTTCTCCCCCAGCACCCCAAATAATTCCCCTTGTATTGCTTCACCTGTTGGGATACTAGTGAAGCTTTGGGTTTGTAAGTACCCCAGGCAGAATTCCCCACCGGTCACAAAGCAGCATATTCTCCTAACGCAGCTCTAAAATGTCTGGCTGATCAGTGGACCTCAACTGTTGATGATTCAGTAGACGAGAATTTCTCTCTGAATCAACACCCCAACAAGATTTTTAGGAAGAAGAGACTGTTATCAGTGAGATATAAAAGGAGATCTGGGAACTATCACAACACTTCGTTGTTTTTCAACAAAATGTTTCACTTCTTAGTTTGAAACAGCTTTGTTTGAGAAGTGAGCGGTGTTGTTTTGGTGTTTGGTTATTTTTTATTTATTTTTTTTTTTTAAAAAAAAGGGGTGGGTGGGTTTATAGTCAAATGAAACTTTCCAGGCTTATCTGAAATCATATTTCTAAAGAAATTTGGAAAAACTCTTTCCTTGCCTTGGGGAACTGATTTCTTCTCCCTGTCCCGATGTATGGAAGCTAGTGGAGATTACTTTGACATAAACTTAATGTGTGTCCTACAGAAGTAGAAGCGTTTGTCCTGGACTTTTTGGCTGAAGTCCAGCACAGAAAATTGAAGTTCATCTTCCCAAATCCTCTCTGAAACTCTGCTTGGATAAAGTCTTCTTCCACTCCCTGTACAAACTGTTTTGCTGCTATTTTAATAGCTTCAGAGCTCTACCACTAGCATCCATCACAAATGATGAGCAAAGTGACCCTTTCGGTCTCTTGTCTAATTCGCACTGACTGTTCTGCCATTAGTTAGCTAATGATTTGTGAAATATTTTGTGATATACCTTGTGGTCTTCAGCTGAAGAGTCCTCTGTAAGTGTCTAATGACAGTGGTAACGGTGATACATACCAAGTCACCGTTGCATTTCGTCATGCATTTCTTTCATTTAAGCACGTTAAGTGGTTAAAAACTTCTGCTGCATGTTGAAACTTTTAGGTTTTGGCAGCATTAGTGCAAGCGTACAAGCAGAGCTTGCTCTTGCTGGCTTTCCTCCTGCCAGCAGTTCCCGTTCACACCAGCAATCTCATCAGCTGCACGCAGGCTAAATTTTGCAGCATATCATAGTGTACCCTGAGATCTTGATTATCATTTTTTCTTCTTTCTTCCTCCTTCCCCCACCCCCTATCCTCTCAGAGCACACCTGAGCTTCTGCCCAGGGTTGTGGGGAAACCAGGGAGTGGCGGATGCTTGTGTACATGTAGTTTTTGCCCCAGCGCAGCTCTGGGACCCGATCAGGGCTCACCCCTGTGCCCGAGAACGAGTAAATACTTCTACATGCGTCAGCCTAACTGCAACTAGGAACATAATTGGGATTATTCATGTTACGCCAACTGGGAGCGTTGGAGCTCTGCTGCATGTGAAATAATATACACAAAGCCAACACAAAGCTCCCACTGATTTTGGAAAAGCCTGGGTATAAGACGATATCCTTACTACTGAGAGCTGGAATGGAAGAGATGTAGAGAAACCATCAGAAATCCATGAGCACTAGAGTACCTTGCAGCTTCAGAGTATCTCTGTAAGCACCTAAACACAGCAGCTTGGCGCAGGTGGTTCCGGAAGTAAGCTGGGTTCAGAGTAATGCTCCTTTAAAAGAAGAGAAAGATGGACAAGTTTAGATTTCTGTTTCTTAAATCATTAAAAGCTACTAATAATCAAACTGTGACTAAGACACATAACTGTATACACTTACTCTATACAACTCAACGCTGTATGTCTCAAATCTAATATGAACTATCACTTTCTCTGTCTTGACAGCTGTGATATATGAACAAGTATTATTAAAACTTTTATTGAGACTATACCATAAATGCAGTTTCATTATGGTTTTGTGTATTGTTCTAGAAAAATGTTCCTGTGGTAATAGTCTATATTGTTTTTAGCTTGTAGATAACATAAGCAAAACGCTACAGTACAACTTCTTGCTAACCCCTAGCTCTGCAAACATGAGTGGCAGTTGTCTGACCCATCTACCTGAAAAAACTGCCTCTAGAATGTATTTTAATGTTAACTTGGAAGATTTTGAAATACTTCTGTACAAGTGATAGGTTCTGCGTGGGTGGACCTCGGCATGTTTCTTAGACCCTTAACTTTAACAGATGCAATTCCAGGTGTAACAAATTACAGGCTTTAAGTCAATATTGGACAAAGATGGAAGGGTAAGACTAGCATAAATTAAGCAGTTAGACTGGTAGGCAGGGTGGCTTTCTGATGGGAGCAGGGGGAGAGCAAGAGTGACAGCTCCTTCTACATCTGGTTAGTTCCACTTGTGAGCTCTCCAACAAGTGACTGGCTTCTCTGGTCAGCACCTCTTCCAGTATTTGGAGAAAAGGTACATATAGCATGTTCTAGGATGCAAAGTTTAATGTTTCTCACTACATACATGTTTTATAAAGTATTTAATGGTAGCTTGTGACATCAATGGGTGAACACTACATTCTGTTACAATAAAAACTTGCAAACTGGCTTTTGTTTCCTCATTGAAAGTTTTGAATAACATGTTAGATTAAAAACTACTGCTTTTGTGTTTTCAGTCTACTAATAACCACAGAACTAATCCTCTTCATAACCAACTGTATTTAAAGTTTATCATCTTGAAACTATGACATTTATATATGTAAACACCTTCAGCTATAAATTCACGTTTATGGAAACAGTGCATTTTAGAAGACCAATAACTGGCTTTCCTGTATATATGCAGCACTCATGGACTGTATGTCTGTGGTCTTCAAAAGGAACTTTCAAAATAAATTAAAATCTAAAAGTGTCTCCAAGATGCTGTAGACTTGTGAAATAAATTAACCCTGCAGGCACTTTCTCCAAGGCATACAGAAGAAGGCCTAAAGCTCTGAAAGATATATGAGGTATGTACAGATACATGAGTGGATCAGTAGATCAGAGAAGCTAATGTTGAGGCCTCTAGATCTATATTGTAGCCAGTTGGGGCTGTTATCTCAGACTAGACTTAGTCTGTTCCCTTGAGCAAAGTGTGCCTGTGCATGTTGCTCAAAGCTGTCTTGAAGGTCAGTGGCTGGTTTGTATTCCCGTGCCTTCGTTAGGTGATACTTGTATTTTGTGCGCAGAACATGCAGCTTATTTTCTCTGAAATTAATGTAGCTTGCAAGTGCCAAAATTGGTTTGTGAATAATCTAGTGTGCAGAAAATGGAGAAAATTGACTAAAGTGCATCACAATCCTACTATTGTGCCAAACCAAAATGCTAAGGTAGATGTAACCAGTCACATTTCTGTTCTGGCATGGTAAAGCTTTACTCTGTATGAGCAGAGCTGCTCTATGCTCTGGAGATGCAGGTCTGCTGAAGATCATCCTAGGGTGGTATAGGAACTAGGAAGCATCTCAGAACTATGCTTTCCCAGTCCAACACTTGAAAAAATGCTGAGAAAACTGTATTGAGAGAAAACATTACCCTGCAGGAACTACCTCTCTGGGAAGAAGGTGTGGGGGGAAAAACCAGTGACAAATGATATCGTGTAACTTAAGACATTACTGGAAGAAGCGCAGACCTTACTGACTGGGGGCACATCTAAATACTGATCTAAAATACAATGTACAACAAGACATGGGATGCTTAAAAATCAGTTGCCCTTAATGAGGGGAATGAATCACTCATCAGTAACGAAAAGATAATGCCAACAGCAAACGCTGCCGTTCTCAGGCAAACTTGGTTCAGATCTGAAGTTTAAACAATACTGATGGTCACCAAAACTTTGTTTAACCAAAACAAAATCATCAAAACATCAAATACCATCAGCATGTAATGATTTGACCAAAACAGTAATACCTTACGTCAATGACAACTGGTACTTCTGCAGGCTATTTTAAAGGAGATTATTGCTGCTGTAAACTGTGGTCAACAGTTGATAACAGTAATATTGATCCCCCCCCTCCCCAAGTTATTGGTTCTACCACAGCCATGCAATAGCACTATGAGGGGAAAAAATTAAAAAATCGATAATTGCCTGGTAGTTAGCAACACATTTTCTGGAAGTCTTTGAGCACGATGTGCTGTGATAGGCTTATAATAAATACAGAACTGCGGCAGATTTTCATAGAATTAGATATCAGCTTTCCTCTTTCCACCTTGATTTTTTATTTTTTTTTTACTAGTCTCAAAAAGATCAACTGCTTCTCTCAATCTATAAATTCTGTACTGAAAAATATTATAGCACGCCCCGATAGCTTGAGCAAACATCACAAAGCTACCTTTGGCTCCTGGCAGTTTAGTTTGATGGTGCTAGGCTTTCTGTAGCCTGTGCACTAGAAATACTTTCTGCTGTATTACTACTCTACCCCAAAGTAGCCCTTTGCTGTACTGATGCAGCTCCAGTATAGTAGCCTTTGTGCAGAGCAGTGCTAATTTAATGCCAGGTGTACGTGAAAACTGTGCAGAGCTACCCCTTTGAATTTTAAATCTGACTGTGACGTGTTTCAGGTGATTTTGGTGAAAAGGAAAAAAAACTTGAATGAAAATAGGAAGCAAAGGAATCGTACAAACAAAGGTTAGGAGGAAAACCCTAATTCTAGGAAGTTCTCCTTCAAATAGGAGCAGATGGGGGACCCATCTGGCCAGGCAGAAATGTGCCAGGCTGTGCATACTGAGAATGAGTCCATGCTCCAAGATCCACCTCCAGCCATGAGCAGTCCTGATACTACGCTGGTTAATCCAGTAATTAATTAGGAGGGACGTGTTTCAAGAAGGAGGCTTGAAAGAAGAATTAGGAAGGGACAAAGGTGGTGGACACACCAGCTGCAACATAGTCGGGACAATCTCTGTATGTGGTGATTCGTCTCATGAGCAGAAGCATCGAGTCCTTTGTTTTTTTTTTACTCATGTGTCTCTCATGGGAGCTTCAGGGAGAAAAAGTAGTTTCGACAGGAAACGTCCGAAAATGGATAGCTCTTATTTTGCACAGAGAAAACTTCTAATCCGCAAAACTGCAAATAAAGTCACTACATCTGAAGATTAAAACTTGTGTTCTTGCCAGGTTTTGCCCTCATCTGTCAAATGACTAGGCTAAAGTAAACTTGAAATAGATTTTCATTTATTTTTCATCTTCACTGTAATCCAAAGACTGCCCTGTTAAAAGCCTTTCGTAAATCATTTGGTCAGTTTTTCTCAACAAAACAGTCCTTAAGTAATGCCGTATATCAGCCTCTTTTTTGACATTTTCATTTTTTCATCTTGACATCTTCTCTTAAAAATAATACAGTGTTTGTCCTATTATCTTTTTTCAGACTGTGAGGAGGGGGGAAGAATGCGTCAACTCTCTCCCCGCTGTAGCAATTGGAGTATGTGAATCAGATGCACATGTTAGTCTGTGGTTTTCTTTCCAAGTTTTTCTTTCAATCTTGCTGCCCTGTGGTAAGAAAACAGGTGTGGCAAGAAACTCAGATTGCTACATCAAAACTGGCTGCTAGAAATCACGTTGCTTTTTCTCAAAGGTGCACATTCTGTACCAAATGCCTTCCTAAATGCAATGGGGATTTAGCTCCAGTCTGACTGACATGAAAAAGTACCTCTGCTACTATCCACCATATCGTTCCTGTTTGGCCTTTATAGGCCAAGAAAAAGTCAATGAGATGATTCTATAGATGAAATAAGTGAAAAAATACACTTCACCACTAAAGCAGCTAAACTCATTTTTCTTGCTAGTACTGTGAGTAAAAGCTAGCTTGTTCATAGAGTTGCATGCAGTTATTTCTTTAACGAGACTGGCGAATGCTGCTTGTTTTTCTTCGCTGTCCGTACTTTCCTGTGATACACTGCGTTCTTCTGTAGAAATGCATTTTAATAGTCAATTATAATTGACTATTAGAGAGAAACTAGATGATTTATCAGAAGTAAAAATTCAGTGCTAAAGCAATATGTGCCTCTGCAGAGAGATGTAAAGCTAGCACGGGTTGGTATGGCAGGGTGCTGTGCTGGCACGTCCACGTGTTGCTGTACTGAGTGACTGTACAAATGTAGTCGCTGAGGCGTTCTGCACCACAACATTAAATACAATGTCAGTGCAAGTAATGTGTCAACCAGCATTCAGCAGAACCATGTATTCAGTTGCTGTAGACTAATACAATGCTTTTGTCTTCACTGAATACTGTCAATCAGTGCAGCTGACGATCCAGCCCCAATATACTTACAGATGAACCTGACAAATCCTGTACAATTACATTGAACCTCAACATTCTTCTTCTTCCTTGTTTCATCTGTATGGCAGGTAGCTTATTATCTGCAGTGTAGTACTAGTCTTACATCTGTTTGAGTCTGCCATGCTCCTTTCTGTGATCCCAAGGGCTGGTTTAAGAGTTCAGCTCTACTAAAGGCAGTCAAATATCTCGGACTCAAATTCCTGAACCCTATGGTAGCCAGGAATCAACCTTATCATATTTTCCTGCAATTTGCATGTGAAGCTGTGTTAAGATTTTATTTAAGTTTTATTTGAGGACCTCACAATGCTACATTTGCTTGCAGCCAGCTTTGTATTCTGAACCGTTTTTTTTTAGGGAACTAAGAGGGATGTGCCTTGGATACAAAAAAAGCTTGTGGGCTCCCTTGGTCTGTGTGGAAGC